AGTGTTAGTAGCAAAAACAATGAGTCTGTCTGCAAGGAACAATATATTCTAAAATGAAATGGAGATCTTTTTTAAAGGAAACTCATCCAATTTTATGTCTTACAGGGCTTATACTGAGTTCAATAATATATAACTAATATTAATTCAACTGTGAACCTAGAAACTTGCACCCACTTGTGAAAGAGTTGTACTGTTGCTCTGGAGCATGTTACTGAATATGTTAAAGCTGTAGTGTTGAAAGCTTCTAATCATGTAATTATTAAAAATGGAAAAAAGTATAATGATTAGAAAAAAAGAAAAAATATTGTGAAAAAAGTAAAATAATAAAAGAAGAAATTTAAATACAGTATAATGTGCAAGACTCAAGATTAAAGAATAACTTTGACCCACTTTAGACTAAGCCAAAATTAACCTTTCTTGGAAAAACTTTGTTAGCATTTATTTGATAAAAATGATAGAGCTCAGCACAGGTAATACTCTTCCTACAAAGTTAATGGTAAATTAATCATCCAGATAAAGTGTGCATTTTTGTCTAAACTTCTTTTTCAATTTCTAAAAATAAAATAGAATATCAACACAATTTTTGTCACAACAAAAAATTTTCTGTCTCTTTTTTTTAAAAAACAGGGTCTCCCTATAGCCACAGCTGGCCTGGAACTCGCTACATAGGCCAGGCTGGCCTTGATTTCACAGAGATCTTCCTGCCTCTGCCCCCATGCATGCCGACACTCCTGGCTAACAACAAAGTTGAATATGAACATAAGATTATACTTACATATTGACTTTTAAAATCATTCTATGGGTTTTATTGCTATTTACAGATGAAACATGATTTTGCAACCATTTTATTGAAATACAACTCATATCTAAAAATGGTATATATTTAATGTGAAGATATTGATCAGTTTTAGTCATTAGAAATTACTCATGAAATCACCACGGCCATAGCAGATAGACTTTGCACAACCACCATATGCCAGGCAGTGCTTCAGGGGCTCAGTGACAAGGGTAGCCTTTACCATTGCTCTCAAACAGTACAGTTACTTGGGAGGACTACAACATGTGATGAAAAAGACTGCATGAATAGAGAGGACCTCCTGTCTATCACAGGCTATGCTCCTAACCCAGATCTGAAAGCTCAGGTAGGCATCCCGAAGGAGGATCTGTCCCCGGAAGCAAAGAATGACAAGACCAAGATGCTGTCTGAACCGTGGGGTTGGGAAAACAGCTGCTCATAGCAGGGACCAGGGGAAGGCCAGCACCTGTTATTTTTGTACCATATTTTACCAATTTGTTCCAACTCTTCAGCTAGAATCTAGAAAATGTATATTCTCTGTACAATCCATTTTTAATATTTTGTCTGTGTCTAGGAGTAGAAAGGTAATGGAGACAGTGCCCTACTTTATCATATCAGATATAGCAATAGGTAGTGTGGCTATTGTGGGGGCAGGCGCTGCCATGTGCTGTGGGAACATCAGTGTTAAGTTTCAGCTCAACTTGGTGTCAGGGGAATCATGCTGAGTAGCTAGGATCTCATGCCAGCTTTGAAGGGTCAGAAGGATTTAGAGAAGGGGAAAAGTTGTAAACAATGAAAGCACAGGGACAACACGGATGAAAATCCAATCCATTAAACAAAACCAGTGTCTGCTGAACAGAACCTTTGAAGGGTGGAAGTAGCCCAGCACAGCCCCAGCTTGCTGCTGATTTAGTTCTTCTTACTGTTCTGACCTCACACAAATGTGAACAGATTCTCTTGGCGAACTGTGTTAGTCCTTAGTGAGAACTGGCATCTTTATTCATTAGTGGAAACCTTCAATTTCATGTTCAACTTTGAATAAAGTCAGAAACTTCTGAATATTATTTTTGTCTTTGGGGGTTTTTCTTTAGCTTGTTCAATTATATTTTTTAATTTATGTACTGTGCCACCTGTATGTGAAATGAGAGTCAGATAGAAGGGATAAAACTTCGGTAACATGAAGCAGGTAAAGAAAAAAAACTTTCATGGAAAAAATATTTTCTAGAAAAGAAATAAAGATTCTCAGAAACACATTCTAACCTTCTGGAGAAACAGAAGGGACAAAAAGTAAGCTAGGGGACTACAGTAATGGGAAAAGTTTCAGAACCATAGAAATGAAACACAAAACTGCTATTGAAAATTTATATTACGTTCACAATAATATATATTTATATTAATAAAGATAACACACATTTAGAGGGCTCCATAAAGGAATAATCGCAGAGACATACCCATTCTGTCATCTTGGTTGATATGGCCTGGACCAGCATTCCAAGTAGCTCTACTGTGGCCATGTGCCATTTACAGTAGTTGGCAAGGTTAGAAATTAAAACAGCTGTAATGTTGTCTTCAGTATTCTATAAGAGAAATGCAGAAAAGTCACAAATCTCCTGGTATGCTCAGGCGGCTGCCTCCTTTAACTGAAAGCTGTCTGGAGCAGTGCTGCCTAGCACTTTTTTGTTGTCTAGCAAAACAATTTTGATGATTGAAGGCTATTTTGTTTACCAGTCAAAACCACGTTTTTCTCATCCCCATCCAAGTTCATTGTGAGGTCTTAATTTCTCCCCTGACACTCCTCACCATGTATTAATTAAATGTTTTCCCACACATTTAATGAAGACACAGCTTCATATTTCTGTCTCCTCTGCATGCTTGGTTTCTGTGTTGTCTTCTGTGGAAAAGCAGAGGGGCTGCGTTGCTTTGGGAACACCTTAAGGCTGCCGCAAGTTCTGGTACCATCAATCTTGCAACACTTGAGTCTTATTCTATAATAGATTTGGGGGACAATTGCCAATCTGAAAGTCCCATGGGACCACCATTCTTCATAGGAAAGTGATAATGACAGGGCGTTCTTGTGATTTCATAGAGCAGAATTTTACCCTCTGTGATGAGTACAAAAAATGTACCATAGATTGTTCTTAGAGAAAAAGCTATTACCAGTTTTCAGGTATGACTTAGTTTCATAGCAATCAATGGAATTTGTTTTATAATGAAAATAAAAATGTATTCTATAAAAAGCTTCTTTGGACTAATTTAGTGCTCAGGTGGTCTACTTTTTCTTCTAAGAAGGAAGATATTGGCAGCTGGAAAGATAGCTCGGTGGTTAAGAGCACTGTCTTCTCTTGCAGAGGACCCAGGTTCGATTCCCAGTACCCACATGGCAGCTAACAACTGTCCATAACTCCAGTTCTGGGGATTCAACATCTTGTTCTGACCACCACGGGCATTGCAAGACACAGGTGCACTTACGTGCATGCAGGCAATTCACTCATATGCATAAAATAAAATAAAAATAATAAAAATAATTTTTTAAAAAGAAAGAAGATTTTGGGGGGAAATGGGTATACAAATGTTTGTATGTAATGATGGATAATTCCTCACATTTGTGAATTATAATAATAAAGTCTTATTTATAGTGTGTTCAG